TGGGTAGAAGAAAATTTTATATGCATTACTAATAATAAACAACAATGAATTAAGATATCTCCCTGGCATGCTATCTCGAAGACGTGTGTCACGTATCTTGCGCTGCAGTGCAAATTCCTGACAAATGCCAGGGTTTCAGCTTCTAAGACTTCTGAGTTTGTGCTTACAGTAGAAATAAATTGAGAATGTCTATTGGCAGATTATATAAAAAATAAGTTGCTAATGCGAACAAGAAGGTAGATCAGAAAACGTAGATGTTCATTCTTTAAAATAAGTCAATTGCAATGAACTAGAACAATGTAGTATTACTATTATCTTAAGCATACCTACACACACAATTGTAGGACATGACAACAATCAACAATATGAAAATCATAAATCGTATTCATTAGAATATGAGTAAGTTTAGACAGAACACAGATGCGAACGTGATTATCAATTAATAAATAATTTAAAATATCTAACTCCGTATTCCGATACATTTTTGAACGGTTATGATGAGGTATTAATTCAATTCAATTCATTTCCGAATTAAGAATAATTGCGGCGTGTTGTGGGGTAATCTGTTTTCCGGGTTGTAAGTGAGCTTGCTGACTTATTTACTATTTGATAATTACTACTATCTGTTACGTTCTGGCATACTAGTTACGTACTAAAGAGAAAGTTTTGTAATGCTGGAGACCGAAATAATGATATTTTGTGAGAAACATTTGTACTGTAGGCCGCTGGGCCAAAAACGTGTATAATTCTTCTTCTATTAAGTGGCAAATTACTTCCTCCTACACGCGTAGTTACAAGAATTCACGTTTTGTGGGTCCTTGATAACAAAAAAATTAGTTTACAGCTTAACTTCTGACTGTCGGTCGGTCTGTCGGTCTAACGCGGCAGTCACAGTAGAGCGGATTTTGGACGAAATTTCGGTCGGCCGACGCCGGATGGACGAAACCAAACGAAAAAGATCTTCGTCCGATGTCTTCGGGCGCCATCGGATGTACATCTCTCAGGTTCGTTATCACAATGTCTGTTTAACATCACGTGTTTGAACTAATTGGGCACGTCGGACAAAACGGCTGACTGAAATTTCTGCCAAAATCGCATCTGCCAATCTGTCACCGCCGCTTAAAGCGGCCATAACCATGGAGACGATATTTTACGAAATTTCGTTCGGTCGAATGGCTGTCGTACAAAGATCTGTTCCGTTTGTTTTTTTTTCTGTCTCACATCGGCCGACCGTGATTTTGGTCAAAATTTCCTCGATTGTAACCGTCGACTGACGGTCTGTCCTCTCGTCCGTCAGTCCGCCGTCCATCAGCCCCCTCCGTCTGATGGACGGTTGACTGACATTCAACAACGATAGCGAATAAACCATGATGGATTTCAACCAAAATTGATATACCACGATCGATCCGGGCACCTTAACAAGAAGCATAAACGTCTTTTTCAAAATGTTCTCAAAAATCTCTCCTACCTTTTTCTTTAATTATATTTTTCAGGTGGAGGAAAGTACGCTTATAAAAATGGCAAAGGTTATTTTTCGTTGAGCTCTCTAAATTTTCGTTAATTCAATAAATTTAATTTTTTCCATAAGCCTACGGTTCAACTATAATTTAGGAGGTAGAGATGGTCATGTGAACATATATTTTTCGAATACATCTTTCAAGGATGTTATATATAACTATTTAAATACACGAGTTGTTTTCGCATAATTCCCGTGAAAATAGAGTTTTTAAACCATTGTTTTGTCGAAAACGAATTTTATCTTCAGTTTTTACTCTGATACAGAAAAGGGCGCTTAAAAATGATTTATACTACATTTTCAGCAAACACTCTGTATCTCCAAAAATTTCAAAACTCAACATTGTAAAAGTAAAATATTGATGATGGTTATGTTTTCCGTCCTAAAATCTTATCATCTCTAAAACCTTCTCGAATAGAGGAGAGGACAGTTACTGTAGCGCTGGTTTCATTTTCGCTGACCAATTTGAATTTTCAAAAATTGCAAAAGTTACAAATACAAGTACTTCGATAAAGTACGTCCTGTTGTAGTACCCACTTTTGTCTGACGTCTAATGCAAGAATGAAGGATACTACTCCCTCCAGAAGTACCACATTTACGATTTTTCATGTAAATGGTACAAAAAGTCATCTTTTGCCATCATCATATACCAACGAAGAAATACATAACCGATAGAGATTGTGATGGCATATTTTCCAATCCGCTACCAAATTAGTAGACCAGAAATTCTTCGTATTAGAGACACGGCGTTGATGATTTTTTGACACCTGTTAAATGGGCGACTTGGGTTGCGTCTTATCACAGCCATTTTTCTACAGGGCAGTTGCTCTGATCAGTTGATTCCATGGTTTTCTGAACAATTTTAGGCGGATGTCAGGGTCTCAGCAATGGACCACAAACGTCACCACATCAGTCCTCCTCCAAGTTATTTCCATCCTGAAGGTCGAGGGGGTTATATAACTCTCAAATGTCCATTCCCCGAATGATCATGAAAATCTTCGAAAAGCGTCCGTGTCCCTGACGCGGCGATTTCTCCGCGACTATACAAAGTACCCATACGAGGGTAAAAATATAAAAATTATTTGGGACTGTTACCAAATGATAACAATTACATTAGACAGAATTAAGGATTCGACCCAGCAATCTTGCGCAAACCATTATTGAGTGTGAAATGTGTTCACACTTCAACTGGCAAAATCAACTTCTCCCGTTCTGTGGTAGTTAAACTTCAATGGATGAGAGCAAACTCCATTTTCTAATTTGTTTGGGTAAATTAAGTCTCCATTCACATAAGCTAAGGATATGGGATACCTTATACCTGCTTCAATTTACCCGTTCATTTTTACCCCTTCCAGCAAACGAGCGTTAGGAGACACATCCCGAAGGCTAAAGTGTCCATGAACGAAATCTTCGACGACTCACATTGCTCATGAGACATGTTTGTGGTTCACTTTATTTTGAAAGACTGAGAACAACGGATGATTTTGCAGATATTACAAATTCCTTCTATTGAATTTCTCTATGCTTAGCTTATTTTTTTCATTTTTGTTACTTGGAAGAAACCTGGAATACCTATCCGTTCAGTTTAGCTGTAGTTACATCACCGCGTTGTCATGTTCAGGGCGAGGTCTTCGACACGATGTCGCTGTTTCTAGCAGATTGGCATGGAGGAACAAACAGGTCGCCCTGTGACGGCTCCTTCATCATGTCAGTGCAGACATGCGAGGCGTGTAACGACGGTCCCTTCGGTCGCCCGAAGTCCCTTGGACCGTAGGATGTTCGTTGCGTTCACACTCGGGCATATTTGGGTTTCCCACAACAGCGCTAATAGCAGTTTCGTTTCAACATTTCTAGTTTTCTCATTTTTACTCACACTAGCATACCCATGTAAGAACTATTGCGTGTTAATCCCCACCTTCTTCCCTATCCTTCCATTTTCGTATTAAGAGAGAAATATGTCAACAAAATGTGTTTATTTATTTGATGAATGTATCAAGTTAACTGCCAATGTTCTTACAAAAAAATTCAAAATATATTTGAAACAAATTTTAAATAAAGGTTTATTCAGTATTATAGACTGATGTCCTTGGAACAATTCACATAACATCCCTTAAAACAACATTTAAAGTAATTATACGGTCTTCCTTGAGAGTTTGATTTTGGCTTTCCATGACAGTTACAAAAATATTAGAAATTTTTTTTTTACTCTTCAGAAAGTTACACTAGGTTGTCTTAGCGAAAATACGTAATCGTGATTGCACAACTCTACTCTTTTCAATTATTGAAATTGAAATCGCAATGCAATGAAATATCGAGCAGTGCCGGAGCAGTAAAAATTTAATTGAATGTCCAAGAACATTCCATCTGATTAATTACGGCGTGAGGAACATTGACGTTAATGGTCCCAAAATTTTGTATTTTAAGGTCCTAGAATGTTTTGTTTTGGAGTTACGTAACTATAGATACTAACACTGCAGCCCCAGAGTTGCAGATTGCAGCTGATGAGTTTTTAGATGTTTTTTTTTCAACAAATCCTTCATATTTTTTAAAGTCATCGACCCATCGTACAATTTGTCACGCCACATTGAAATTCTTTCTTTAGAAACCTGATTTATAAAGACTGATTGCATGTGAGACGCAAAATACATCTATACTACTGAAATAATAGAGGACAAGATGTTATGAATAAAAAAATAGTTATTGAATGAATGCATTTCGATTCTAGTAATCAATCATAATATGCCGCATCATTTCATTTACGAAAAAAGTTTCATTTATAAAGAAAAAAAATAGATCATCCGCAAGTAGTTAAAGGAATACTTCAGATGAATATATATAACACCTATTCATATAACACTTGAGTTGGAACCCGGCAAGCCGATGAGTAGATGGGCACCGGGTGTTACGTTAGAGCGGCAGATGGCGAGGAAAACCGTCACGTCCGAGATATAATAAGCATACACATACGGGACTAATAACAGAACAAAATAGTTGACGCGTCTGCAACATTGGAAATACATTCCATCTTGGTGACTTGCTCGGTTAATTAAACCAGGTGCGCCAGAGTGTTGGGCCACCCCCGATAGGGCGTAGCACCAACATGCATAAGGGCACCAACCGGCACGCAATAGTGCAACGACCTGCCGGTAGCCCATTGACCAGAGCCGGTTTAAAAAAAAATTAAACTTTGACAAGGTACTTGGGGGAAATCAGAGTGAGCGTCGCGAATGCTATCCAGTTAATGTGTCTATCCAGTGAACAGTGCGCATGGACCACGTCTTTCGGTTTTACTCTGTTTGACAGTATAGCTTTTTTATCCGTTTGTACAGTCGTCAACGTACTGCTTTTTCTTCTAAATTTCGTACTTCGACCGTGCCTGATCGGGGTATCACCACACGAGTAGAGTGAGCATTGCCATTTACGTTACGTAAAACGTAAAAAAAAGTATGCGTTATGAAAAATAGAGGGACTCGCACGAACTCACCTGTGAGAATAGTACTCGTGGCTTCCGCTTGGCGCGCGGGCGCGGCGCTGGTCTCCTCTCCTGCCGACCGCCGGCGCCCATCCCTGCAACAGTTCGCCAGCACTCGTACACTTAGCTCTCACGAGCGCGGATTACGGTTTACAAACCTCTCTTAGAAGCAGAACTTTTCACCGATTGATTGTAATAGGTGAATAAGTGCGAAGTGAATAAATGCGAGTGCATGCGCCTTACTGACTACTACACGAGGTTAATCAAATTATTTTCGTTATCTGATATAAAATAATGTAATACTTTGCAATATCATAATCACTGATTTTACAAATAGAAGGCAGATAAATGTATGCGGTAATTTATATGATACGTGTACTTAACTGCTATTAAAAGGGTTCAAGATGTTTATGGAAAAGAGGGTAATTTAAATGCTCGAGTACGTAACCATTTCACCAATCCGTGTTCGCGCATCTCGGTCATAGCTGTATGCAGAAACTCAAGTTTGCCCGTCTTTTTGTTTTCTAAGGTCGCATCAACATCTAGATCATTAGCGACTACTATTGCATTTAACGGTGTGGTAACTGTGAAGATGACATGATATGATGATTGTAAGGGGTGAAAAGACGAACACAAATGCAATCATGCTCGAGGTGGGACTCTAATTCGCGATATTTCGGTCCAAGGTCGCTATGGCACTAGTGCCTTTAAGATCTCGGATATCCGGGCCGGCAAAGATGTTTTTTTTATCTTCATGATATCTATAGCTCCGTAGGTCAGTCTTGTACAACCAAACATTTCCCCCCCCCCTTGTTTTGGTGAATACTTAATTAAGGGTGGGAGTGAACGAGAGGATAGGTAACACTGGCCCCAACTTGATGTGCTCTTTGGCAGCGGCGGGACTAAAAACGTGTATTAGTGAAAGAAAAATGGGATCCCGGGACGGAACTGGTGTACACCCCACGATTCAATATTTCCTTGTAAAGTACATTGAAAATTTTACGCTGGCTAAGCTCTACGATGCTTTGTAGTTGCTGGAGTTCGGAACCTCGTTTGCGACTTGGAAATGTGCGATCAAAGCAAGTAAAATTGGTTGCATTGGAATTGCTTTGTTAACTCAAAGCATCTATTTTAACACGTACAATATTACGCACCCCGAATGTGTAAGGGTTCTTGTAGTTTAGGTGAGGTAATTCAAGGGCTTATGAAAAGTAACAAAGGCGGAAAAAAAGGTAGTTCGGGCCTCATGAACCACAAAAATTATATTGAAAAATATTTTGCTTGTATAAAAGCAAATTATATTCGTAAATTAGAAGATGTTACAAGACAGTAAACCCCTGTACATGTGCTACTGTTGTATAAATTACCTCGCAGCGATACTTTAAACAGATTTAGGGCAAAACCTGTTGAATTTCATAAATTGTGAGCTAAAAAAGACAAAGCGATAATGTACTTCTATGCCATACAAGTTACCAACATTTGGAATTCGAAAAAGGCGCTTCTGGACTCTAAAAACGGACTCTAGTTAGATTGCATACATTATAATCGTATTCTTATGAAAGGTTTGTAGTATATGAGTACGAGTTGAAAAACGAAACATTTATATAGCTTTATTTTGGTTTCTTGACGTCAAATATTTTTTAAAAACATTACTATATTTTTTAATGCATTTAAAATATTTATATCTTCTTTTTTTAGATAAAATTAATGTTTAAATCATTTTCAGTTTTAGTACTCCCAATTGTTGTTTGTCGGTAACGACCCCAATTTTCTTGGATATACTCAATGTGTGATTGGGGAATGAATGACACATTGTATGCCTTGGAGATCAAAACCTCGCTTTTCTTGTACTTCTCCGCACAATGTAATGTTTTAAAAAGAACATCAAACACTAAGTCTTTCGTGAGCGCTGGGCTCAGAAACCAGGTGCAATCCACACTCACGTGTTACTTGGCAACTGGATGGATCTTCCTTACGGCATTGATGTTGTTCATCACCATATGCCCTTCTAGGTATCAAGTTAAGGATGACTCAGTTAATTCAAAGAATTAAATGAAGATCACTTTCTTATCCGCTGTCTCATTAAAAGAAATGACTGAAATGGAGCGAGCAGCCGTGATACCGTGAGTTTCAGCAAACAATTTCAAGAAACACGAGTTTCTCACCCGGAGATCGAGACGCGTCGGATGACACCTAGCTGGCCATAAATTAATTTAAATTACTCTAAAAATAATTTCTTTTCATGCATTATCTCCCGCACGATTCCATCTAAACTTATATGCCATTTTCTTTCAATTATGTTTGTATGAATGTATTTGGTATCTTAGGGTCGGATTAATCCGACTTTCGCCAGCTAGTGGTGTTCCCAGGCCTGAGCCCTATTTATATTCAGTAATAATAATAATAATAATAATAATAATAATAATAATATAATAATAAAAATTTTAATGGTAATGATAAGTATAATAATAATAACAATAATAATAATAATGGTAATGATAAGTATAATAAGAATGAATGACTACAGTTAATCACGTGTGTAACTTAATAATTTCTAAAAATGTATAGAATTATTCATCTATTTCAATTTATGTAAATTGTAACAGTGAATTTGTCCAAAAAATCAATTTCCGTTTTCACAAACTTGTAGAAGAAAAAACCGCTACAGTGTGAATTGTTGTAAGATATATAATTAAAATGCCCATATAAACCAAAATATAATTATTACAATTATACAACGAATGTTTCATGATTGGTACACGTTTTGATAGTTAATTCCTCCAACAGCAACTGCATTAAGCCCAATGTGTTCCTGAACATGTGGCATGCGGAAAAACATAATATGGTCAGAAAAAACTAGAGTAAGAGGGGGAAGCTCTGAGCGTTTGCCTTCCTCTCGAGAAGAGGAGACGATGTGCATTGCTCTTTTTTCATTCAAGACAATCACCGGTGCAGATAAAATTGGGAATTAAAAATGCTTTAATGATTTAACTCAGAATTCTCAATTTATTTTAGTCTCACGATTCCCTTCATATGGGCACACACTGAGGTTTTTTATTTACCTTTAGAGTTTAACCAGTATTATTGTTCAATTTATTAAGTTCAACTCAACATGAACTTTTTCATTTCTGAACTTGCAGAGCTTACACAGCATACTCAGACGACTGAATGCGCAAACCATGTTCATACACCAGAATATTGAGATACACTAATTTTCTGACAACGTCGGAGACGTTCTGTATCAAACATAGTATCGTCGTTGGAGAAAATTTAATTTGTAGTGATTTATTTGATGACACATTTCATTTCTCATTAATTTTGAAGAGAGTGAAGGAACTAATTTTGATTATTTTTAATTTCCCCCCTTTAACAGTTTTGTATATTTATTTAGAACGTTAAGATCGTACATTTAGCATGGAACTAAAGCACTATCCTTTAAAAATAAATACTCATATATATTGATTTTTCAGTAAATACTGTTTTCTAAAATCTGATCTTCTATTTCACTTTTTCGCATTCTACTACGTAACAAAGAAAACAATGTATAATAATAGTGGAATAGTGGACTATACGGAAATAGAGGATAATTCATGCTCCTATCTGAATTCAAGAATTTTCTTTCCCTGATACGTTGTTTAGTCAGAATCTACTTATTGTGGGTCCTTGATATGAAAAGATTGGTATGCGGCAAAAAGTGTCTGTCCTATTTTGTCTTGTCTGCTGTGCCCATTCTGTCCCGCCCTGGCTTGACTATCTAACCTGTCTGCCCTGACTAATCTGTCTATCCAGACTGTGATGTCTGTTGTGTTTGTGATATTTACGAACAACGCTATCGCCTACCCCGTTGAAAGGTTTTCGCAAAATCTGAAATTCCTCTGGCTGCTGTCGCGGTCAATTGTATTTGAAATGGATCTTCAAACTTGGTGTTTACGTGAAGGTCCCTATTACATTTCCAAAATCTTCTAAAAAATAACACCTCATGTTTTTCTCGAATGAAGAAGTGTTTTCTTATGAATATATCCATAAGTACGCTTAAAAATGTTCGCGGGTACGAGTTCCGTTAAAAACACTGAATTTACGGGAATTGCAATCGTTTTGTTCGACCTCTTCCTGGAATTTCGATTTTTAAGGAATTTTTCATAATGAAATGTGATTGTCAAAATAAGATCTTTAAATAATACAATGTAACTTTTTTTAATATAAAAAGTTGTAAGTCGTAATTTTGAGTAAAAGAGAAACAAATTTTAAAAACAATATTCTATGAAATATTCAAACGTTTTCTCATTTCTATACTTGAACCCATTACATGTTCATTAAAACCCCTGATTTTTAGAAAATGACAAACGGGACTCCTTGTTAAACGAAAGAAAAGAAGTTCACATGCATGGGAGAGCAAACTTTTTTTTTCGGTTTGGACAATTCTGTGGGTTCAAATTGGGTTATAACAATTATGTATCCCTTTGGGTTATAATAATGCTGTAGTAATACCATTAGTTTTCGTTTTTATGTCAAGTGAGATACAATGGAAATAAAAATCGTTAGTTAATTATTAGTTATATTTATATATATTTCTGAATATGTTTCTCATAACCCGAAATAATTACTTTAGAGATATCTCAAGAGATTTATTATTATTATTATTATTATTATTATTATTATTATTTTTATTAAATTTTTACTAGTACTATTACGATTCTTATTACTATTAGTATTAAATTATTTTATTATGTTATATCTAACAATATTGACCTGACATTACAAAAATATTTTTAAACACAACCGTCTATACCAAAAATTACTCTAGACATACCAATGATAAAAAATATCAAAATAAACGCAAAGCAAACGTATATAATGGGTTGACTGAAAAGAGGATAATGTTTCAGAAGAAAAAGACATCAGAAACAAGAACTAACATTTCGGGCTACGCAATATAGACCGAAGAACAGAGAGCAACAGAAAAACAGCAAAGACAACGAGAAAATACTGTAAAGATTTGAAAGAAGGTTGTCATGAAACTGTTACCGTAAACCGGGCTACTTTGGCCTTGGAATCCTTCTTTGGTCCAATATAAATAAATAAAAATAATAAATTGTTTC